TAGCAGTAGTAGTAGTAGTAGTACTAGCAGTAGCAGTAGCAGTAGTAGTAATAATAGTAGTGGTGGTAGTAATGGTAGTAGGAACGGTAGTCGTAGTAGTCATAATAATAATAATGGTGGACGTCGTCGTAGTAGTCGTATTTGATGTTAACGATGATGATGACGATGAGGATGCGGTAAGAAGATTCAATCTACTACTCGTACTTTCCCTGGTGAAAACGAAGTTCGGCCCCGCCGCTCCCCACCGCTGACCAAAACTGCATTGGCCAGAGATACAATTGTAAATGACCCTGCAGGTGCCGATCATCTCGGCAACGCTCGCAGGACAGCCTGCCGGCGGCCCCAGGGCTGCCGTGGGAGGTCTGAACCAAAGGCCTGCCGCGCAAGATCTGGACCAAAGGTTCACCACGGAGAGTCCGCTGTCACTGTGAATGGGCGAAGGGGCCCCACGCATTTTATTTTCGGGGTCCCACGCATTTTTTTTCGCCTCTAAGAGATCTCGGGGGCCCCTGTGAGTGCTCAGGGCCTCGGGCGGCGAAGACGAATGAGCGACCACGCTCCCGTGGCAACCATCCCAACCGATGGAAGCCGACGGCGGAGAGCAAAGCACAACGCGCGAGAAGTTGGGCCAACAACACTGCGCCCCCATGCAACGCGTCAACGCTGTCCGGAGGACGGGGTTCAAAAGTTCCGGTCTCGCCCTTTGCTCGTCACTCGTCCCCCTCCCTCCTGTTGCAGCTGCTGCTCCTCCTCCTCTCCCTCCCCCCGGGGGAGAACGCGCTCGGCAGCAAGATGTGTACCTCTCCCCTCGACGCCCAACTGCGCAAATGGCTTCAAGGGTGCAGATGTCAGGAGTAACGGTCTACACGTCCATTGACCCACGCTGGACGTAACAAAATAGAGCCCTCTACATTCGAGATCGAATCTACGAGCCTACCTTTCCTATGTGCACTGCCGGAATACATGGAGGGTTCGCCTTTTGCACACCACACCCCAAACAAACATGTTTTGTCGTGGGTCGGGGCTTGCGTTCGGGCTTGCGTTCATGTCCATTTGGGTGCCGGGGCTGCGTTTAGTGGCCCAAAATGTGCAGTCTCGTTGAGCCCTCAAATGGCCATCTAAATCGCCCCGTGTTTTGGTCCGGCCGACCAGCGGGAAAACTAAATGTCACGGAATCGGTGCGGATGAACGGGAGCTCTCTGGACAATAGGCTGGCATCCTCTGAATCAGGCGTTCCGTTTATTCGCGGCATCGCCCTCACGACTCGCCCGGACCACCAAATTTTCAGCAATGATTATCGGTGTTGTGTGTGCCGCGCGGTTGGCCCTGAGATGCGTTGGAGAAGTTGGGAGTGTGCGAAGATCATCTCCCCAAGGTGGGGATTGATTGGACGAGGGCCGGATCCGTTGGCCAAGAAGGACCTTATCTCTGCGGCGCTATAACTGGCGCGAGGCCCCAAAAGGGCTCTCGCAAACGCGACGCGGGGGCGCGCGCGCACACGAGCGTTACCGCAGGACGGCCTCCAAGAGGGCCCAAAAACGGTCCAAGAGACCCCGAAGATGCTCCAAGAGGGGGCACGGACGGGGGACATTTCGAACCCTGAGTCCCGAGAGGCACTCAGGAGGCCCCAAGAGGCCTCCAAGAGGCCCCCAAGAGGTGCAAGGAGGCCCCGAAGCGGCCCCAAGAGGGCTCCCAAGAGGCCTCCAGGAGACCTCAAGAGGCCCCCAAGAGGCTCCCAAGAGGCCCCAAAGAGGCTCCAAAACTGTCCACAAGAGGTTTCAAAACTGTTCCCACGAGGCCCCCGAGAGCGCCCCGAAGAGACCCCAAGAAGCATCCCCGATGACTCTGACCTGCAATCCAGGCACTGTGGCGGGATGTGCCGAAGGCCAGTTGATAAGTGTGTATATAACCCCAGGAAGCATTTAAGAACCCCCCCCCCCTTCCGGCAAATCGATAACCCTTCCGCACCCTGGAAGCGTTACCTGGCCTGGCACCAGGAGCCCTCCTCCTCCTCCTCCTCATCCTCCTCCTCCTCTCCTCCACCCACGAACTTCCTCCTGCCCCCTCCTCCTCCTCCTCCTCCTCCTCCTCCTCCTCCTCCTCCTCCTCGCGCCCCCCCCCTTCCCTCGGGGCCCAAGGCCTGTCAGGGCACAAGTCACCTGGGGTTTCCCCTCTGGGCCTTCTCCTGAGCAGGAGGAGGAGACGAGATGAGGAAGAATCCTAGATGTTCAAGTGAGCCCCTTAGGAATGGACACCCGCAGGAATAGAACTGGATTGTTTTTTTCGCGTGGCCGGGTGCTAAGATAACGCCACGGTGCGGGGGGGGCGGGATACCCTCTCGTGGACCTCCCCCTAGGACGGCCGATGAAAATCAATTTCTAGAAGGGTTTTGAATGAGAAATCTCTTCCAAGAGGCCAGCAGATCAGAAGAGAGAAAAGGAGGAGGAGGAGGAGGAGGAGGAGGAGAAGGAGGAGGAGGAGGAGAAGGAGGAGGAGGAGGAGAGGAGGAGGAGGAGGAGAAGGAGGAGGAGGAGGAGGAGGAGGAGAAGGAGGAACAAGACAAGGAACATGAACAGGAAAAGGAGGAGAAGCAGGAGCAGGGAAAGCTTCTCAGTTGTCTCAGTTTTCTCAGCTTTCCCAGGTTTCTCAGCTTCCCCAGGTTTCTCAGCTTTCCCAGGTTTCTCAGCCTTTCCAGTTGATTCAGAACGGATCGTCGGCAGATTGTCCTGTGTCTTGCCCAGGTCAGATTGGATTCTTGATGAGATGGAAGCGTCGCTCACAAGTCTGAAGCACTGGAAGGAGAGGAGGCGATGGAGGAGGAGGAGGAGGAGGAGGAAGAGAAGGAGGAGAACGAATGTTTAGGAATCTCTAGGAATCCTCAGGAATCCTGAGGACCCTGTAGGAATCCTTAGGAATCCTAACATTCATGAGGAATCCCCTGGAATTTGTGACGAGCCCTTAGGAATTTAAAGGAGTCTTCTGGAATTCTGAGGAATCCACAGAAAGCTTTAGGAAGGCGCAGGAATCGTAATGGAATCCTTAAGAATCCTAAATAAATCCTTAGGAATCCCTAGGACACCCGCAGGAATAGAACTGGAGTGTTTTTTCGCGTGGCCGGGTGCTAAGATAACGCCACGGTGCGGTGGGGGGCGGGATACCCTCTCGTGGACCTTCCCCTAGGACGGCCGATGAAAATCAATTTCTAGAAGGGTTTTGAATGAGAAATCTCTTCCAAGAGGCCAGCATATCAGAAGAGAGAACAGGAGGAGGAGGAGGAGGAGGAGGAGGAGAAGGAGGAGGAGGAGAAGGAGGAGAGAAGGAGGAGGAGGAGAAGGAGGAGGAGGAGGAGGAGGAGGAGGAGGAGAGGAGAAGGAGGAGCAAGACAAGGAACAGGAATTCATAAGCAGTAAAGGAAAACCTTTATGACTCTTAAGGAATTCTTACGAATCTTTTGGAATTCTCCAGATTCCTGAGGAATCCTTTGGATTCCTTGGAAATATTCAGGAATCCCTGGACACCCTTTGAATCTTTTATGAATCCTGACGAATATTTGTGAATCCGTAGGTATCCTTGAGAATCCTGCGGAACTTGTATGAAACCTGATGGATCCATTCAAGTCGTTAGGAGTCATCAAATATGCTTGGGAATAGTAATACTATTATCATTGCATGAATTTTCCAAGCAGCAAGCGACATCCTGAGTCTTTCATGAGAGCCACGCAGATTTGAATTTCGAATTTCGATTGTGGCCCAGGGGCCAGGCCTCCGCGAATTTGTTTTGTGTCCGGGTGCTAAACCTATCGTTCGGTTATTTCGCCCCCTCGGAATATCGAATAAAAATGCGGTGCTAAGATATCGCCGGGGGGGTTCTTAAATGCTTCCTGGGGTTATGCACACATACGTTCATGCATGCATACATACATGCATACATACATACATGCGTACGTACGTACATACATACATACATCCATACATACATACATACATACGTACATATGTACAGACATACAGACAGACAGGCAGACAGGCAGACAGACAGACAGACAGAAAGACAGATGGACAGACAGACAGACACACACACACACATGCATACATGCATACATACGTACATGCATGCATGCATGCATGCGTGCGTGCGTGCGTGCGTGGGTGCGTGCATGCATACATGCATACATGCATACATAATGAAATAATCAAAAGAAATACAAGCAGAGCTGCCTGTAAAGACACGCATTGACATATCAATGCGTATGCGTATATACAGGTGTGTGTATCTCGCGGACGCAGGAACGGCCCCGAAAGCTGCTCATATGTTGAAGCTGAAACCCGATGGGGATTTTTTCAGAAGGAGCGGGCGGCGATAAGAAATGCAGACGAGCGGGTAGCTAGAGAGGAGGAAGGGACGACGAGGGCCCTTGAGCCGCAAGAACGCTTCCCGCTCATAGCAGCACAAGGGAGGGCATGGAGGGAGGGTGGAGGGAGGGAGGAAGCCTCCCAAAGGGCCAAACACGCATCACAAATCGGGCCCCCGACCCTCCATCCTGGACGACGAGAAAAAAGAAATAAGGAACAGGATGGCAGAGGGGAGCGGCGAAATCAGAGAGGCGCATGAATGGGATGGGGAGAGAAGTTGGAGGTGAGACGATCAGGGGCGCGCAAATCTAGATTAGCGATCCATGGATTTGGCGCACGGTCGCCAAATCCATGGATCGCGGGAGGTGCCCTCCCCAAAATGCGGCTAGTGCCGCCTTGCTCGGCGGAGGAAGTCCGCGATTTCCCCTGGAAGCGGGGCCCGTCTCCAACCCACGCCCCCTTTGATCTATGCTTGCGATCGCCTGAGACGAGAGAGGAGGCGAAGAGGGGAGAGAGGAGGGAGACCGCGGCGGGAGAGCCGCGGCGGGGCTTGCCAAGGCGGTGGAGGACCCCGTGGCGCCAACGGCCCGGCGGCGGGCCGCGCCCAGCAGCTGGGGCAGAGGCGCCCAGCTGCGGCGCCGACGTCCACTACGCAGTCAGCTTCCTCCCCTGGGCCCATTTTCTGTATGTTTGTGCTCCTGCTCCTCCTCCTCCTCATCCTCCTCCTGCTCCTCCTCCTCCTCCTGCTCCTCCTCCTCCTCCTCCTCCTCCTCCTCCTCTTGCTCCTCCTCCTTTTGCTCCTCCTCCTCCTCCTCTCCTCGCTCCTCTCCTCTCCCTCCCCCTCTCTCTCCTTCCCCTCCCCCTCCCCCTCCTCCTCCTCTCCTCTTCCTCCCCTCCCCTGGGCCCATTTTCTGTATGTTTGTGCTCCTCCTCCTCCTGCTCCTCCTTCTCTCCCCTCCTCCTCATCCTCCTCCTGCTCCTCCTCTCCTCCCTCCTCCTCCTCCTCCTCCTCCTCCTCTTGCCCTCCTCCTCTTCCTCTCCTCCCTCCTCTCCTCTCCCTCCCCCCCTCTCTCTCCTTCCCCTCCCCCTCCTCCTCCTCCTCCTCTTCCCCCTCCTCATGATCCTTCTCCTCCTCACCCCCCCCCTCCTCCCCCTCCCTCCTCCCCCTGCATCCTCCTCGCCCTCCTCTGCTTCCTGCCACATCTCTCTTCCTGACGACTACTTCCTTCCTGTCGCGTCCCCAGGCGTGTTAGTAGGGTGGGCCGGGCGTTTCGCCTTAGACTTCATCACCAAGAGACTTCATCACCAAGCATTATCCTGAAACTGGAAACTCGCATCAGGTACCAGGATGGAGCACAAGGGGCTTTCAGAATGGGAGTATCGCCTTCTGGCCGCGCACATTGTTCCTAAACGCCTGCAACAGTTATAAGGATGGATGTCTAGCTTTCGAAACGGCGCTACACCCCGAATGCCGCCCACATTATGTTTCAAAGTTTGCAACTCGCCATCGCTCGGACGTCCATTTCCCGTGCATGTGTCGGTTTCGTGCGTGTTTTTTTGCTCCATGGTCCAGGATGCTCCTCGATGGTTCTCGCCGAGAAAAAATGCACACGTCCGAGCGACGCCAAGGCAAGAGTTACAAGGGAAGAGAGCGGTTCCTCTAGAACATCGGGCTGCCTTGGCGGCGCGCACAGTCGGCTCGAAAGTTTGCGTCACTTTCATGGAGATCTGGAAGGGTCCTCTCGAATGGAAGCTCTCGCCCAAACGCCACGCAATTCGTCTGAAACGCGCTCGGCAAGCGCGGGTCTGGGGACGGCTCCTCGTCAAATTTGGGCTATCGCCTCAAGCATCCCCACACACGTAAGGACTAGAGACTTCAACACATGTAGTAACTGCGCGTGCGGAGGGCGGCGGCTCCTCTGTCATGAATGAAGCGCTGCTTGAATGGATGCGTGCAGTCGAACCTAGGACAGAAGAACATCCTTCAAGCACATGAGACCCTCCGACGGCCAAACCGAAGAACACTCGAGGGCACCCTCCCCCAGGATGCACAAAAACGTTCAAGGAGCACGAAGAGCATCAGGGCATCCTCCCCGAACGGGCCTCGATCTTATATATCGGTCCGGCGGCATTTGCTTGTGAAAGCAACCGACGGGTACGGGGCGCCTCGTCACAGGCGGTTCCCGGCGTTCGTCGCGGTGCGGGCCCTTGTGCCAAGCAACGCCAGTGCAATGCAAAGCACTGATTCCAAGCAGCGCCAAGCAACGCCAAACAACACCAAACAGCACCAGGCAATGCCAAGAAATGCCACGCAACGCCAAGCAACGATACTAAGCAACGATGGCAAGAAATGCCAAGCAACGGTTCCGAGCAATGCAAAGCAATGCGCAGCAATACCAAGCAATGCAGGTGCATGGCATTGCTCAGTAATGATACCAAATGCTCTGAAGGAAATATATGGGGTCGCGCTAAATTGATACAAACGGTGCTCTCGCTTGAACGTGCTCGAGATGTATGCCTAAACAAGCAAAAGTATGCAACAATTCTACTGGTGGGGGCTGTTTTTAACAGGGATGCCGTTGGACACCTTGTTGAACTTCATGATCGTACACTGTGGCATTCCAGATCATGCGCTGGAAGGTTGCAAAGACAGCGCCTTTTCAAAACGTTACTTTCGACTGAGCGGCAGGCCCATACGGTGCTGTTCTTTCAAGGGGGCGCCTCTCTAGAGCGAAATGGAAAACTTGTGAAGCCGTACGAAGGGTGGACTTGGGGACGAGACGCTGCACCGCATCTTGGGTTTACTCCGGTCCTCCTCCTCCTCCTCCTCCTCCTCCTCATCTCTTCGCACCTCATACCTCCTCTCGCCTCCTCCTCCTGTTCCTTCTCCTCCTCCTCCTCCTCCTTCCCCCGCCTCCTCCTCCTCCGCCTTGGGATTGTTTCAGACCTCCGCTGATTCCAGTGCACTGACCTGCAACGGGTATGAAGAAATCCATCAAACCCCCTTACGCGTTTCCTCGTCAAACCGATGTTTCCTTTTCGGGGAACAAGCTTATCCGCCACAGTGCCGTGTTCTCAAGTCCATGCATTCACCGCTCTTAAAGAATATTAGGATCGATCCCCCCCCCGGACTTAACGGGTCCCCTTCTCAGCAGGTTGCATACGATTGAGCCCCATCGTCCATCCGAATTGAGAAACTCACATCATCCCAGACAAACCGGTGAGTTCCGCCCCACACTCATCCCCTGCGGAACAAAGTACAATGCACGCGCACTCGTTTATCAAACATCTTCCATTTCCGACATTCCCCTGTAAGAAACGGGACGAAGTGCACACGCGCGCGTCGTCGCCCGCGCGCATGCAGAAATCATTCCAAAACACCCTCGGAACCGCAAGGAATTCAAAATCGAATGCCTCGAACGCATATAAACAACACGTGGTTTGGCGACACGATTTGTCAAAAAGAGTGTGCGTTCGCGCTCTTGCGGGGCCTTAAGAAACCAAGCGGTGTTTCAAATGGGCCTCCGGCGCGCGCGTCGAAATCGTTCGGACGCGTTTGCGCGCGTGTTTCCGCAAGAACCCCTTGCAAACATGTGCCGAGGTACGCACGCGCGCAACGTTGCGCGCACGCATGCCGAAATCCGCCAAAAAACTTAGGTCCCGCAGGGATCTCAAAAAACGCGTGAACCGAACACATATAAAACACATGGTTGTTGCAACAACAGCTTTCAGGAGAAAGAAACAATGCGCCCGCGCTCTTGCGAATTCTGCCAGAAAACGGATTTCCAAACTGGCCTTTATCGCGCCGCATGTCGGCATCACTCGAACGCCTTTTGCGCGCGTGTTGGGGGGGGGACACGAGTCGTGTGAAGTAACACCGTGCGGGCCACTCTTTCGCGTCGGCCGAGCGGGCATGTCGAACTCGTTCCAAAACCCCCATCACCGACGCGAGGACGCGGTCATCACCGTCGGCGTGATCAGCGACGGCGCCGTCACTGGCCGTGCCGCCGCCGTTGCCATCATCTTCGCCAGCGCCGCTACTATCATTATCATGTCTAGCGTCGTCGACGTTGCCATGATACCGCGGCCGCCCAAGTGGCCGACTCGCACTGACATGCCTGCTGGGACGCGACTAGAAGTCAGTGCTACCGCGGCCGCGTCGGTCGCGTCAAACTAGCTGGCCACTGCGCGCGCGAGCAGACGCGGGCTAGCGCGGCCGCAGAGATGGACCAGCCAACTCCAAGCACTCATCGCAATCGCCGCCGCATGCGTTTTGCAAAACAAACTGCGGGCGGGTGGGTGGGATGATTGCGCGGCCAGTGGAGTTGACAATTGCGAATTCCACAAGCGAAGGGTATCTTTCGAGCTCCCCAACGATGATCATACAATCAGTGGGCGAATTTGCTATGGAGAATTTGCCGTCGGCGGCTTGCAAACCAACGCACGGTAAAAATGCACGGCCGCAACCCACGCCGAACGCGGCTGGAAACGCTCGCGCGGGGGAAAAATGAACGGCTGGAACCCGCGAGGCGCGCGGCTGGAACGCTCGCGCTCGGTAGACATGCGTGGCTGGAGCCCGCGCCGCAGGCGGATGGAACGGCCCCGCTCAGTCGAAGCGCGCGGCTCTGGAACCCGCGCGGTGCGCGGATGGAACGCTCGCGCGCGGACATAAAACGCGCGCCTGGAACCCACGCCGCGGGCGGCTGGGGCGTCCTCGCTGAGCCGGGGCCCGCGCCGTGTGCGGCTGGAGCACTCGCGCTGGGCAACAATGAAAGGCCGGAGCCAACGCCGCGGGCGACTGGAACACTTTCCCTTGCAACAATTGAAGGCTGGAGCGGCCCCTTGTCAGCGTAGGCGGCTGGAACACTCCCACGTAAAAACGCAGGCTGGAACCTCATCCAGCTCGGGGCTTCAAACGCAAACCTACATAAGGGGGAGTGGGGGGGCGGGCCAAGGGCGGGGGTCCTAGCAATGCATCTACGCCTGTGAGCCCGCGCGCTCGTCGGTGAGTCAATCGGTCCGTCGGTCGTCGTCAACGGTCGTCGTCATCTCGATCCGTCGGTCGGTCGGTCCGTCGGTCGTCATCGGTCGTCATCTCGGTCGGTCGGTCAATTGGTCAGTGGATCGGACGTCGTCGGCCGACGACGTTTCGGTCGGTCGCTCGGTCGGTCGTTCGTGCGGTCGTCGGTCGTCGTCGGTCGGTCGCCGTCGTCGGTCGTCGTTTCGGCCGTCGGTCGTCGGTCCACAGCGACAATCCGCCCATGCCGTGGCGCGCTCTGAAAGCGCGCCACTGGAGCCAAAGCGGCTACGGCTGCAGCGAAGTTGAGAGCAAGAAGTTGGGCTCAAAATTTGCCCGACATGATGGGCTCATTATAATATCACTACCAACCGTCGCTCACTGACTGCAAGCGGACCCCGAATCGCCAACAGATCGCTCCGAGACGCCAAAGACGGCTTCCAGGCGGCCCAAGAGGCACCCGAAACGACCCGAAACGGTTCCAAGAGCACCCCCTAAGAGGGCCACCAGAAGCCAGACCAGACTCGTTTACTTTTGGTTAGTTGTTGAGCAAATTTAGCTGGCTCGCCTTTTCGGGCTCGCGAGACTCGAAGACAGGCCACGAGGCCCCCAAGGTCGCACCGAAACGGCTCACGAGAGCCCCGCAG